AATAATAACAATAACAACAACAACAATAATAACAATAACAACAATAATAATAATAACAATAATGATGATAATAATAATAATAACAATAACAACAATAATAATAACAATAATAACAATAACAACAACAATAATAATAATAATAATACTGATAATAATAATAATAATAACTAGGGCTGTGCGATATGACCCGATATAAGGCATTTATCATCCCGACAACAATATATAATAACAAAAGTTCTACATTTTCTGTAAATTCTGCGAATCTCGGGCAACTCGACTTGCGTGAAGTGTTTTCAGCTGAGCGTCGTGTAGCTGGACTCAAGCATTACATAAGTTGAAACGGCCTCAATTTTCTTTGTGAGTATTTATTACATGCGTGCTGCGGGGAAAAGCCTGTTCGAAGCTCTTTTTTTTCCTTCTTTTTTTTTAGCACCTGACGGCTCTTTTTAGCTTCTCATTTGTAAATACTCTGCATTCATGTGATTCTGTTTATTTTGAAAAATCTCAACAGGATCTTCAGCTTTATTGTGAAAGGTTTATGTGGAAATAAACAGCGGACGGCGGAGCCACGCGATGGTTTTACCATCGTTGTTGCTAACGACAACGCATAAAAACAGTCGTTTGTCCGTCCGTAGTGTGGTTATATTAAATATAAGAAAAAGAGAGAGCGTCTTGAAACTCTACAGTGACCATCAAAACGATAAAATAAATATTACCGTAAACAGTTTATTTTGCGAAACAAACAATAGCGTAATTTGAAACGATAGACGTTTTCATATCATCATCCGATATATGTGGTTATATCGAACAGCCCTAATAATAACAACAATAATAATAAACCCATATAGTAATTAATATGTAATATCTGGGAACACTTGGCTTTTAATTTTATGGCCAAGAAGTGAGGATCTGGTGCAATTTAAAAGTTTAAATCCACAGAAAACATTTCTTCTTTATCCCCATTCTGACTGTGTTTAATCTTAAAATATAACTTTTCCCCAGTGTAGCAATAATTAATAGCAATAATTGTTCTCCAGGTGCAGAACGAGATCCAGAGGAGGTGGCGGAGGTGGAAGATGAAGCACCGCGTGCAGTTGGAGCACAGGAGGAAGTGCGGCAGCATGAGCCAGAGCGGGGGTGGCCCCACCAGCATCGCTCTTCTATTTAAATCAGCCTCCACACCCGAGTCTGGTCTGGTGTAGCGTGATACGAGGCTCCTCAGCGAGAGAAATACAAGATGATGTCTTCTCCACTTTAGACACAAATGTGTGCAAAGAAGGCAGAGCAACGTATCTGAAATTCAATTTCAGATGATATATATATATATAGTTTCCCATTCATAACTGTACAGTGTGTAAATTATGAAACATCATTATTTGGATATTGATAAGTATCCAAATAATTCTCTTCAGTGTCAGCCAGTTTCTGTTGGCTCGGCCTGACCTCTGCTGAAGCAGGACACTGAGTGGACCTCTCCTGTTTGTTGTTTGAATATTTTAATTATCTGATGAATGATAATGCTGCTGAATATGAAGTCAGTTCTGTGGTTTTAGGAAGTAGAACTCTAGTATTTTATCTTTCTTAGCACTAGTTATATATAATATGTTGCAACATGCAGGATCTTGTTAATGTTATATGAGAACTTGCAAAATAAAATGTGAGAATGTGTAAAACATGTTGAAAAAAATTAAATGTTAATGTAACAAGTGTCACCTGGCAGTTTGTTGCTCTGTGCCAGGTGATTGGCTGAAGAGCTGTGAAAAGGTAGTGGGTGTGTGGGGTGAAGTCAGCGCTCTTCTCTGGTAAAAACCAGAGGCGATTAATTGACTCGGGTGCGAGTGGGTCTACTGTCGGTAAGAGATCATGTGTTATTGTAGGTGCCCATTTTTAATGTGTGTCGTTGGACTTTTGTAGTGTGACCACGAGTTTTAATGGAAGAATTGATCAAGCCCTAGATCGACTGCGTGCAGGGAGACTGATCAATATTGTAGGTATATTGAGTGTTTTAGCTTTGTGATTTTGAATGGTTTCATAAAATTGATATTTTATTGGGTAATATTTTAATCGATAGTGTTGTTTGTGTTTTCCAGCTGTGCTGTCTCTGATGTCCTTTTTTTCGTTCTTTTCATTGATTTGTAATTTTGTTTTGGTTGTCCATCCAGCTGTAAAGACGGTTATTGATTGGGAGTGAGTTGTGTAAGGGCGGACTAACCTCCTTCTTTGTTTTTTTGTTTATTTGTTTGTGCCACTTCCCTTTATATTCCAGATTACAGGTCATGCATAGCGCTGCTTCCCAGCTGTGCTGAGACCCGTCTAAATGGGTGTAACGGTTTGCAGTGTTGTGTAATTTTCACACCATTTGTGGTAAAGCTCATGTGCAGCTGGGATATCAGCAGGATGTGTTGTAAGTCCTGTCTGGAAATAACTGGGAATTTGTATGTTTAATTAATGTAATAAATAAATTATCAATTTATTTCTTTGCCCTGTTTACTCATCCCTTGTCCTCGGTTACATTTTGGCGTTGTTACGAAAAAACGTTTTGCAAAGGTGTTGACTGGTATTTGCACAAATATACAGAAAGCTGCAAAGTTCTAATTTTACTGAAGTTTTTGCAGCTTTAAACCTCAACTCTACGATTATAACCTCTCAGTTCAATGAATACAACCATTCAACATCTCCAGCTTGCACAGTCTGCAGCAAAGCGTTTAGCTTCTAGGATGAAATTTAGCACCCCAAGTCTGAGATGGAAAAAGATAGCGTGCACTCGCCAGGTTGGAAAGTTATTTCCAAATATCTAAGAATCTGGGATTCAATTCCATTTTATTTATATAGCGCAAAGCACAACAACAGTTGATTAAGGCGCTTTATATTGTCAGGTAAAGACCCTACAATGACACAAAGCTCCCCTTAAACAGGAAGAAACGTTCAGCAGAACCAGACTCAGGGAGGGGCAGGGCCAATTGATATTATTCACAAGTGAGAATGGAGCAGGACAGATAAAGGGATGTGTCCGAGTCTGTTGTGGTGAACAGAGAGCTAATCATGGGCTCACTGACTCTAGATGAGTGGACTGAGCAAATGAGAGACTTTGTGCACACGAGAGGCAGAACAGAAAAAGAGCAAGCTCAAATGATTTTTAACCATTTAGAGGGTACCGCACGCACTGAGATAAAGTTTTTACCAAAAGAACAGAAAGAAAATGTTGAGAAGATTTTTGATACACTGAAAGAAACTTACAGCTGCTTAGATTCCCACATTTCTTTGCAACGCAGATTTTTCAATCGTAAACAATTAGAAGGTGAGTCTTTAATTTTCTTTTCTCCTTCTCTGATGGCTTTAATGGACCAGATTATTAAAACGGATGAGGAAGTTTTGTGATGATGTTAGAGATCAGACACTGAGGATCAGGCTGAGAGATTTGATTAATGCCAATCCACAGTGGACGATTCGTGAGGCGAGAGCCGAAGCGACCAGGTGGATGGCACAGTATGAGAATCAGCCTTTTAGGTCCAGATATAATCACTCTGTTTCAGTCTCTGCAGATATGCAAGCTTCTTGTGAAAGTGTAGATTGTAGAACATCAGAATATGCTGAGTTGGTGTCCCTTTTTAAAGCCCAACAGTGAATGGTAAACCCATTTGTTTTAGGTGTGAGCAAATTGGACATATTGCCCGATTTTGCCCGACATTACCCAATTCTGATGGAAATCAGCATGAAACAGCAGCTAGGGCTGATGGCCAAACTACTAGGGCGGCGGAAAACTAGTACCCACCAGTTCACAGAGCCACACACTGGTGGGAGGGTTGCAAGGCTCCAATAGAGATTGACAGACCACGTGACTTTCGCGCATTGCATGCCGGGAACTCGTGGCAAAACAATCCAAGTACCGCATCAAATGCAAGCATTTGCAGCACCGCAAAACATTCATTCTCCGGTTCCAATAAATTCTTGGTTTTTCTTTGCCCCCCAAAAAGGTAGGTACAAAACGAAGGAGAACAATGTCGGTCCGTACAAAGACAGACTTGATGAAAAGTCAAAGAAAAGATATGAGGAAAAAATCAAAGGAGTGAAAGGGTTAGACCCTTACGAGCACACAGAGTGGACAAAATACGTTAGCGTGCTGCCCAACTTTCACCACGCTCATATTTATAATTATACGCTTCTTGGTGTGAGTGCATACACTCCTGAAGTTAAGTAACTTCAGGTCACTGCAACAAGCCCCGGTACAGTTTACCGACAGATGGGTACAGGACCTTGAAATGCACACCATCGTACGTATCATAAGTTTACCAGTCTACACAAATCGTCTTCATAAATACACATT